GCATCCAGCACAACTTGGTGGAGAAAAAGGGTGCCTGGTATCAGTATGGGGAACATCGTGAACAAGGCAAGGAAAAGATGGTGAAGTACTTTGAGGCAAACGGTGAGGAATGCAAAAAGCTCGAGATGTCTATCCGGTCCCTAGCTGACAAGGAAGACGGCCCGAGCTTTGGTGAAAAGGCGGAAGATGAGGAAGAAGAAGAGGAAGAAGCGTGAGTATCGAGTGAGTGGGAGAAGACGAACTTCGCGGAAGGCAGTCAATAGATGTGTTCGTTGAAGATGAGCCCTGCGCCTCCAGCTTATGGTTGCAGGGCAGTTTCCGATTGTTTGTCAATGATTTTAGGTGCAGACATCACCAAGCACACGCAAAGTATAGTTACTTCAGATTTATATAGCCAGACACGCATTGCAATTTGTGTGGCGTTCTGACAAGCATGCACTCCAATGTGTCACTGTGGTTGTGTGAAGAAGCATGTCGGTGATGTTGATGGCACCCACTGATCCCAAAGCATGCATTACAATTAAATGGACTTCACAACGTCCTGAAGCCGGAGCCAATGCATCACTACAGTTGAGGAAAATGATGGAACATGTGCTTGTTACACCCAGCAAGAGATAGAATTCAAAATCAAATCATCCAAGAGTAGGCACAAGGAAGCTTGATTCGTGAATCATGAATTAAAGTGCCCTCTTAGCCAAAAGATGCCAAAAGACAGGTTTTTGGGTCCGGATGCCGCAGTGTCGTGCCGTTCCTGTGCCCCTGAGGCACGAGAAGTGATGAAAGAGATGCAAAAGGGGGAGAACCTGGAAGGTGACGAGATTGCAATCCCAGTGAGGGGCAGACAACAAGTTGTGGCAGTCCATCGTTGTGTGACCTGTTGATCCTCATTGGCTCCCGTCACCCGCATGCCTCACGTTGGCATATCATGGCATATCTAACAATTCGAGGTCGGGGGGGGTGGTCCGCCCGGTGGCTTTCTCTTCGAAGGTGATGACGAAGAGGAGGGCGAAGGTGAAGACTTGAGCACCTCCGTGGCTCGATGGATGAGCGAGCAGGATCGCTCAATGCCGATGCCGAAAGGTGGCTGAAAAGTATTCCCTATTAATCCCTATTATAAATATATATATACAACCACCGGGCACCCCCTTTTTTGTTAAGACTCGGGTGCGTTTTGTTGAATAATTAGGGGGTTCCTGAAATACCGGTTGTCCAAAATAGGGTCAGTGGCCTAGGAGGATCCTTTTGAATAATCATTGATTACATATGAAATGCAGATTTCCTGGCAGGCGTGGCGCTTTGTGAAGCTTGAAGTGCAGATTTCGTGCAGAAACCTGGGAAGAGCATCAAAAAACGAAAAGTTACCCAGGATTTGTTGTTATAAAACTGACATCAAAAATCAAAAAAAAACTCCAGATCGAAGGGAGATTCTTCATTAGACTAACAACTAAAGCTTTCGAAAGGTGATGTCGCTGTGCCATGCGGTTTTTGCGCGGCCTCGGTGGCAAGTGCGTTTGCGTAAGTCCGTGCCATTGGGGGAAGGAAAACCTGAGGTGGGAAGTTAGGGTTGCTTTTGGAACCTAATGCATTGAACTCCCCCCCAAATCGACCATGTTGGTAGTTTAGTAGCGGCTTTAAAAGGTGGTACTTCAAAAACACATACAAGCCGTTTTTAGGGGCTTCCGACATGATGTTACTTTTAACTGGGGGGTGCTTTTGAATAGGCACTCGAGATTTGACATGTTCTTCTTTGAAGAAGTGATTTCTCTTAAGGCTGCTTCTTGTATCAAGTCTCTTGCATGGGCGTCGCGCTAGTTGAGCAAGACGATTGTAAACATATAAGGAACACAATTACTATAACCCTAAAAAATGCATTCCACACTGGGTGCCAACAGACCGGTGGTGGGTAGGCGAAACGGTACCTCTACAACTTTTAACCTGTAGCTTTGTTGAAACGATCGCCGAGAGACAGAGAGGCTGCTTGACACCGGAGCCGCATTCGATTCACATGATCATGAATTCTGGCAGGAGGGGCAGGTCACCAAGGAGTCCTTGAGAGACTTCAACATGAAGGTTCGCTGGCAGGGGCATGTGAACACGCTGCCCGCAGACCATTTAGGCCTGAGGATGGGGCAGGGACCGGGGCAGTAGCATTTTGTGATTTTTTGTGATATGTTGTGCTAAGCAGGGCAGACAAGAGCACCTGTAGGTGTCTTTCAACCTTTGTAAGCTTCCAACCTTTGTCGCAGGTTGCATTCTCAAGATCCTGTTCAAAGACGCTGCTGCAAGCTGTGACTTGACGGGCAAGCTCCAGCTCTATGGCTGCAAATATCCCAGCACAGTAGGAATTTCCATACTTGTAGCTTGTAATTTGTATACAAACACGATTATCACGATTCTGAAGTAGATTTCCTTGCTTTCTGGTACACAGCCTTAACTTGTGGTGAGCATGCGCAAACTCGGTTGCATAGCTACAGTGACGAATGGTATTGCAAACTCAAACAGGTAGTGACTGACTGAGTGGCCTCGATCGGCAGTGTCGAATGTGCCATCGATCGGCACCGTTGCACTGCGCTTTGGTCCACAACTTGCAACCTCACTGGTGGCATTCGCCACCAAGGCTGTTTTTGTCCCGTTTCGCTCGGCCTGTGAGGCCCACCGCGATTGCCAAGAAGCTGGAGCAGCCCTTGGGACGCTGGGCACCAGTGCTGGAGCCCCTCTACCAATCGATACTTGGACGTGCAGCACGTCGGCCTCTAGCGGCCTGATGGAGCCAGATCTTGGGGAAGACTAATGAATAGGAAGCACTGAAGGCTGAGGCGGCACTAAATGTATGAAGAATGGTTTTGGCAACTCTGGCCCCGGCTGAGAGTCCAAGTATGCTGCAAGTTCACGACTTTTGCACCAAGGATCGGTGATCCTTTCCAGGGCCCAGATGCAGTTTGCAAGGCAGCCCCCGAAGCAGTAGAAGAGGCTTTGAAAGAACAAGATGGCACCGACGCGGCAGGACTGAATTCATCGGAGCATGGCAAGCGTGACAAACATGTTGAAGCTGTTTGGTTCACATTCTGAGGAAATGAGGCTGACAGATGTTGATTGTTTTGGATCAGTTATAGTTGTTGCTTTTATAACTCTATACTTTATACATCTTTATACGAGCAAGTCATAATTTAATGATTTAACATACTTTGTGTGCTTGCACACGAGTATGCGCTGGACATTGCGCTGCGGCATGCTTTTGCACACGGAAGTTGTTCTCAGCATGCTTTTCATTTGGAGCTTATTGAGGTAGGTTGTCACGCCCTTCTGTTGTCCACTGTTCTTCTTTTTCTATTTCATTTGACTACATGATGGAAAGCTCAGCCTCTTCACACGAGGAGCTTCTGCTATTGTGGGTTGCTACATGGCTCTTCGTGAGGCTGAAATCGAGCTTCTGCCGGACGATGAGCTCTTGATGGGGACTTGGCCTTAGTCTACACCACATAATACGTTAATGGCATACATGTTATTGGCCTTGACGCTTTGCGATGCTGTCATAATTTTACAAATATATATATATATGGATGGCAGGGATGATATCAGACGCATGACAGAAACGGAGCAAATGGGGCTTTTGTTGAGGTGCAAGAGAATCCATTCAGAACATCCTAGTACAGTCTTGGAGAAGTTCATCGATTTCCTGGAAGACGCCCTGGATCAAGACGACTCCGATGAAGAGGAGGATGAGTGACGGATAGGAAATGTTCTCGTTGGAAAAGCCATTGCAGGACATTCCGACGAGAGAAAATGAATGAAAAAAAAGCGGCGCCCGTGATAAACAGTGTTCCTTTCGAGAAATTTGCCTTTCCGGGCGCAGTATCAATAAGGAAAAAGCAACTTGTGAGGCATGCGGTTGGTACGATGTGATGGATGGATGTTGTGTGATTGCACGTTGCATACGAAGAAGTCGATCCGACTCGATCCGATGAACATGTAGTGACCGGATGATGGCAAGCCATGCAGGACAGGGTCTCGGATACTAAACTTGTAACTCTCCGGTTTTCGATGAGCTAGTCACCATGGCAGCTTTGGTTAGGAAAAGCGTTCTAGTTCCTTTCAAGTCATGCTGCATATTCATGTCGCATGAAGCCGCCAAGTTTCACATTCGGCAATCAGGTTGGCCGTGCACTTCATAGGCCAGATTCCCGCATCTAAACTAGATGATAATAGATGCGAGGATGCTCCTGCAAATTTCACCATTGGTAAGATTTGAAGTGTTGAGCCATGTCTTTGCGTGTATAAGGATGTTTTGGCTGTTTATCTCTTGCTGGTTGGAGGTTACAACCTAATGACCTATGCTTTTGCGCTAGCAGCGCCGCATCTTGGCCAATGTTCCAGAAAGTTTGACCATTCCAAACGGCTCCCCATTAGAAGGGCTTTCCCAGGTTCAGCTGGGAACCCCAAGGGGGATCCCAAAGGCATCATTCTCATTTTCCCGCCACTGAAGGCTGATGCCTGACTACAAGAACAATGTCAAGAAGGAGAAGAACTCCTAAGTTTTGAAGTTCTGATGGTGCATTTGTGCCACGACAGAACATCAACAATTGAATGCATGTTTGTTTTTGTGTTTGCATTTATCCGGACAAAATATGTAGCATGCTTAGCTAAGTGAATGTATTTAAGCCGTTGATCCAGAATAGCTGAACTACCCCGTGCTGGCACGGTGCATTATCATTGTCTAGTCTATTCCTTAGGTTGTAGCAGAAGACTGCAACCCTGATGTAGCAGATCCAGTGTAGGGCGCTCTCGGTTTTCCAGCTTTATACGTCGACCAGAAATAGCGTTGAGAAAATTGTTTCACTTGAATCCCTGGTGCCAATTTGCACCCTCCAAGCTCAAAAACACGCTGCAATACACTGCATCAGTGTGAAACGTTTGGCTTCAACTTCAACATGTCGACCACGCAGGAATTCATGACGCATTTAGTATGTTGTGTGGCTTGTACTTGTTATCATTTGGCTGAGGCCGGAAAGTTGCAGCCAGACCCTCTTGTCAGGTTAATGCCTTTGGCTGATGCAGACTTTGCTAAGGCGGGCGATTGATGTTGTTCCACCTGGCCTGCACATTCAGTCAAGTTTGGTCCAGATGGGAAGGATCCTTCGGAACATAAAACCTTTAATGACATCCTGGTGGGTTCAGCTGCACTTGGGCGTTCAGTTACGAACGTCGTGGCGCTCTCTTGCTGCAAGTGCTCGCACGCGCCTGGCCAATGCAGTCCAGGAGGCCAGAATGAGTGTAAATTGGCATGGAGCAAGCTATAATTTCAAGTTTCAAGACACTGCTTGGAAGCCGCTTTCTTGTCATCATATATCACTTCCGATTCCTTTTTCATTTTTGTCTTGCCTTGCTAAGAACAGTTTAATTGATTCCAAATGCCGTTCATGCCAAAGGTCGAGGTGACTGGCTTCCCTGGTTCGCTGGGCTCTTACTAGACTTCAGCCTGTGTTGCAATATTGTCTTGTGGGTATGGGCATGTGGCTTGCTGTTTCTCAGGATGTCTTTGCTGAATGGTAAGCTTTGCCTACTGCAAGGGCCCTGGTCAGAGTTCGTGCGAGCTGAAACAAGCTGGATATTCTATTGCACATCCTATGTCACAGCAAGTCTAACATCACCACATCAGCATGGACAAATTTTGCGTCCTTTGCTTTGACTGGCACCCTCATATGGTACACCCCGCTTGGCTGTGCTGTGCCTGTTTCTTTTGTCAAGGCCAGAGCCCTGGAATTGGTACCCAGCCTGGAGGCCGCTGTACAATTATAGATAGTTGGATATAATATAGTAGATAACGGTGGATAGACAGATAGATTCAGATAGATAGATAGATGATAGATAGATAGATGATAGATAGACGGATAGACAGATAGATGATAGATAGACGGATAGACAGATAGATAGATAGATAGACTGATAAATACATATACATATAGATGAATATATTGATATCAATATGACATCATATATCGATGTGTAGAATTACTGTAAGTAGAAATAGTATAGACACATCAAGTTTATATGAGGGCCGTCCGTTATTGCCAGTGAAGGAATTTCGATCAACTGTTAAACAAACATGTCGCGAAAGGGAAACTGCAGTCCGCGAAAGGCCGGCGATAGGACAGCGAAAGACATGTGCCAACCTAGACTTACATACAATGTGCATAATACATGACACATCCTTTTTCCCTAACAGAAACACGGATTTTCGCGAAAGGGCTGCGAAAGGCCGGCGGTAGGCCCGCGAAAGAGCGCATTGCCTGGAAGGGCATTTGCCCATCCATGGCCTTGAAATAAGCCTTGAAACCTTTGTTTCAAGTATGAATTGACAAAGGGTAATTAGCCTGCTTCTCAGCGCACTAAAAGGGACCTAGATGTCCCAAACACTGTGAACTCAGTGCAATGGAACAAGCTCATCACAATGCGCGAAAGGAAAACCTGTTTTTTCTGCAAACGCGAAAGGGTCGCGAAAGGCCGGCGATACAAGCTCAAAAAGAAGAGCTTTGTTGGACAACCCCCATATGAGACGTCATGCTTGACAAGTCTCAGGTCCAAAGAGGCCAAAGTGGGTACTGACCATGCCTGAGCCTGGGTTTGGACATTCCGGTTGTTTCTGCAAGCTGCTGCATGTTTGACGCTTGGCTCATGGCTGATGTCATTTGATTTTGTGGCCTTACTGTTCACATTGGAGTGCACCAGGTCACCAGTCAGTGCATGATTTTGGCGAAGTCTTGTCCATTTGGGTGTGTGAGGTTTTCTTATACCGGGATGCCTCGCAGACGAAGTGGGTCCTGCCGCTAGCACATTTGGCAATTTCGACTTGATGGCTCGCACTCAAATCAGCTGAAACACGAACTTAGATGCCCCTTAGTGAATAACTTTGTGCATCCCTGAGATCCCTGCATTGTTCAGGCAATTTCAGGCAAACATGTTCACTACAGACCATGGACCTTTCCACGTGCCATTCCAAGGTGATCGGGCTTGCTTTAGGCAATGGCCACGAAAGGATGGCTCATGTGTGCCTTGCCAGGGAAGCGGCTTGTTTCATTTTGATGTGTCTTAAGTTCCCTACTTCTCCTCTCCTGTCTATCTTAACTCGCTGGTAGGTACACATCCCTTGAGTCACCAGCAGTGGGCCTCGTTTGGGAGGTGGACTGCCTTGGCCTCAGTCGGCTTGGCCTCCATTGGCCCCACCAGTTCGTGGTGTTCCCATACCAGGCGGCGAGGATTGGTTGCCATACTTCCCGGCGTGATGGCCTCAGAAAGTCCGGACCGGAGCTTCTTCTGCAAAGACGATGAGATGAGAACGATGTTTCACACAGGACTGTGCGAGCGAGCGAACCGGCCCCAAAGGCACAGGCGAACAGGCGCGACGAGAACGGACGACTCGCGACGATGTTGAAGTTCTTCAACTTGGGGGCCGGTAGCGAGGGCTGCGTGTGCACATATTGCGGAAGTGTTTAGGTGATTTTTACCCATTTACTGTAATTTGGTTGTTTATAGTAAGTTGTTGCTAGTGTTGTTGCTTGATGCACTGTTTGGATCCGAGGCCAAAGCCGCCAAAGCACAGAAGCGGCCGGCCCGATCAAAAACAAGAGCGCTGCCCGAGCAGACCAGCCACAAATGAAGAAGCAAAACGGAGCACTTTGAGATGCATGCAGCCATATGCAACCTAATTTAACGGCAAGAATGCCTCTAGCTAGCAACAAGACTACAGGCATCGCGCTTTCTATTGCAGGGTGTAGTGTAGGCGCGGAAATGATCCAAGATTGGTGCTTGACCGTTATTCTGAGAGCGGCTCTTTATTGCAGAGAACAGAGAGAAAGCATACAGGAAGCTGAGTAATGTGAGTGAGAGGGCAGCAAAGTCCACACCCAAGACTTGCAATGCAAGATGTACTGAGTGTCATGTTAAAGAAAGGTGTGATGTGGTGTTATTGTTTTGTATCTCAACTGCAATGGTGAGAAATGACATTGCTTTCTCTAAGTTGGACTGCATTTGATTCACACCGAAGGTTCGATTGAACAAACCGTTGGACCTAGCTTATCAACTGGCCTAGTCAGGGCAATTTGCCGTAGAATCTCTTCGCCTCCACGGTCGATGCCATGGCCGCGATGGCCTTGCGTTTGAGGAGCTTTCTAAGGTCAGGGACTCAGGGTGAAGATGAAAGATCAACGTACATGAGCCTCAAGGCCTGCAGCTCCATTTGCACACAGTCCATGGCTTAGTTCTGCCATGTTCTGCCTGCATGGCTTGTAGTTCCGTCTCGTCACTTTCGCTGCTTGAAGGTATGACCCGTTGGTTCGCAGAAACGGCCGCTCCACGCCTGACAAAGGACTCGAGAAAAAAAGTGAAAGCTCCTGTGCTGATGTTGAAATTGTTCTACGCCAATTTCCCTTCCATCCATTTTTGAGCAGTTATTAGCTAGTTGTTGCATTGGTGGCTCACACGTGCTTAACTTCCACCTTTCTTTGGCGCGCTGCAGTGAACACAGACTAACACAGACGACGGTTGCGCACGTTGCTACCCGCAATCCGACCAAAAGAGATTTGTTCGTCAATTGGCCAACGCGAAACACGCCCATGTGCAGAATAAAGGTCTCGGTGAGGCCCATTTGAGGCCCTTGAGGTTTAGACCATTTATCTAATATCAATTTAGTTAACTTAGGAAACCTTAGCATAGCATACATATGGTGATACAAAACAATCAGTTTCATTTGGATCAAGAACCTAAAGGATCAAACAGATTCAGAGAGGGCTTTGTTCAGCGGTATGTTTTATTTTTCCCCCTCGAGTCCCGTTGGAGCTGCCAGGAAGCTGAGAGTGCTCTGGGCTCCATCAAGGCCACTGTGCTACGTGTTGTCAGCTGTTGAAGGCTCGAAGGTTTCCTTCTTGTGATGGGTTTGGCCTATCCAGGCCACCATGCAGGCGCAGAAGAAGGTCAGGGCCTGGCTGGAAAAAAGACATCTCCACAACTAAGATGTTTGCAGTCTGAGGGTAGCCTCATCGTGTGGAGGTTACTCAAATCCACCTCTCCAAAGCTCAGAAGAAGAGCTTTCCTGGGAACATCCGAAGGCCGGAAGACGCTTCACGAAATCGCTGATAGCAGTCGGAGGGGACGTGCATAAAGACCCCGCAAAGGACGGACTTGGACGATCCTTGTTTGTTCGGGTGTTTCTTGCTCAGGCAATCATTTTCCCAACAGTTGCAAGTCCTAGCGCACAGCACGGCGCAGCTAGCAGAAACAATGTCGCAGATGCAAGACTTGCAAAGCAATCGCGAAGAAACCAGTCTCAAGACTCAAGAGTTTCAACTATTGAGCCAACTACACCTGGAACTTATGAGACTCTTTTGAGAACAGGGAGGAGTGAAACTTTAACTAGCAAGTTCAGAGATTGCCATGGCGGTGCTGGAGACAGTAGAAGCAGTGCTGAAGGGCCAGGGCAGCTTGCAAGATGTGGAGCAAGTTGTGCAAAACAGTGGTTTCCTGGCTTGAAGCTTCAGCCTGTTACAGTATGTTTCACAGCTGTTCATAGCAGAGATAGCGGGTGATTTCATCAGACTGTGCGCGTGCACCCATGGGAAGAGAATCGACTGTTTTCCTGGTGTCCTTGCAAATCAAGGCAGGCCGCCTCAATTGGATGCCCTGATGGCCGCAATAAAGGCCCGGAGCCTTCCGATGGTAGAGCTTTTATTGGAGCGAAAAGCAGATGTAAACAGTCAGGACCGGGATGGGCGGAGGGCGTCACAGTTCGTGATACAGCACAATGCGTTCTCTTGTCGTGTTGGTTGCCCACTAGAAGCGGCCTTCAGCATGGAGAGGTGTGGAGCACATGTTCCATCGATTGTGTTTATTATGTTGTATACCCCATCATGAGTCATTTAAATCAATCATGTTGCCTCTTTTGGACTCATGCCATGTTGAGGACAGCAAAGGTGTCAGCCCTTTGCACATGGCTGCCTTTGAGGGACGACCGAATTTGGTGCGGCTGCTGCTGAAGACTGGGGCAGATCCAAACTTGAGGGACCGCCATGGGCAGCTTCTCTCCATAGAAAGAGGGGTCGCTACTTGAAAGGGGTTGGCAGAGAAGCTAAATGCAGTTCTACTTGCTTTTGTTGGACTCTTGCGATGGTTTTTTCCTCAGTTTCCTTCTGTAGAGGATTTGGTGGCAATGGAGTGCTTTGGTGTTGCCTGGTGAGTTGTGTTCAAAAGATGTGTGTCAGGACTCACACCAGCTGATTTTCTGATAGAGAGCGTCCACCAAAGAATCTCATATATTATATATATAGGATTTCCACAGACAACACAAGCCTTTCAGCAAAAAGTCAATCTTGCCGCAGATGGAACGCAATGTAGAACCACAACCGCTGTGGCGTGTTGCACTCCAAGCCAGCCAGCCGGCCCTATTGGGAAAAAGGGCCACTAGAGAAGTGCCAGATTTTGCTCTCGCATTGTGCATTTCAATACTCACACTCGAGGCTGCAGGGCTGCACAGGAGAGAGAGAGAGAGAGGGAGGGAGATATAGAGAGACGGAGAGACTGACTAGATTTCGAGCCTTTTTGCGTACGATATCTTCCGATAATTATATAATCAAAAATTGTACAAATTACCATTATATTCCATTATATACCATGCATATCCATGCATTGTGGCGATAAGACTGTATGTCATTGCATGTCCTGCCAAGGCAATCGCCCATTTTCTTTGCTCCCACGCGTCAAGTATGTGAAATGCTCATCTTCAGGAAGGCAGACCTTGCCGTAATCAATGCAAAGAAACAAACTCCTTTACACTTCGTAGCTCATGCTGGGCTCCACGATGTGGCTGGATCTTTCCTTGAGACCTTTCAGCCCTCAGCTTTGGATGCCCCAGATGTGGCTGGGCATTCGCCGCTGCTTTACGCCTCGAAGTCGAAGGTTAAGACAATTCATTCATTTCTCAAAGCATTCGCGGATGGCGCAGAGGCCACTGCAGAAGCACCAGCTCCGGCTGAAGTGAAAGAAGAAGCATTCGACGAGCAGACGTCTCTCAGGATTCCGCCAGTCCACGTGGAAAGTGCATTGGAGCTCAAACCCGACAAAGAAGTTTTGGCGACGCCTCAGACCAAATGTCCATCAGGGCATGACCTGGTGCCCTTTGAGACTCCAGAGGATGACTTCTTATGTAGTGTTTGTGAGTGCGAGTTTCCGATGTCGACCATTTTGTATGGATGTCGCTCTTGCGACTATGACCTTTGCAGGGAATGCTTGGCACACACGGTCTTCCATCAATCAGGTAGAGATTTTGTTGCTGCATTCCCGGAACTCCAAGAGATGAGTACGTTTGGCGAGAGTGGCAAGTCCTTGCTGGTAGGCTGGGAGTTTTGCTTTCTCTCCGGGGATTGATTCATTGAGATATCTTGAGATGTCACATGATGTCATGTTCTACTATGAGCAAGGACGCTACTAGGGGCTCCTGGCATCGCTACTAGGAACAGGAAGCTACTAGGGGCTCCTGGCCTTACTACTAGGAGCAAGGACGCTTCTATTCTTACAACTTATACTTATTCCACCCACATAGAATCTTCGCCGTCCAGAGGCACCGAGGAAGACCTTCAACCAAAGACCGAGTCGGAACCGGATTCTTTTGCTTCCCAGCAGTTCTTCGCGGAGGAGGCATTAGGTAGCATCACGGAGGAGTGGCTTGGAGTGGCTACGAGTGGTGGGGTGTTGACGCAGTGGAATGCCTTTTTGCATCGCGCGTCCATTCTTCATCCATGAGGTTGGTCAAAGTTCTTGAGCCATTCATGTAGATTGGCGGTTCAATGTTATGTGATTGAACATCCACCAAGTGTCACACGTTTTTGTGATCGAACCCTGTGTGACCTTTGTGCCAAATCCGGGTGTTTGGTCTTGGAATTATGTGACTTTGTCGCCATATCCAGGTTTAGTTGTAGACCATGGTAGACCGAGGAATGGCTGTCTATTTTGGCAAGTCCTCCTGAAAAAGGACTGGGATGCACTGAGGGATCAAACAAGTGTAATTACATGTAATTACCCTCCTTGCACATCAAACAAGTCAAGCAAGTGTCGATAAGCAATCGATATTATCTATATATCATGGTTGGATCAAACTTGAAAGGGCCAGCACTTTTACTGTAGAAGCAGCGGCCATACAGCAATATATCCAGTTCCGGCAGTTGCACACGTTGCTTTTGCTCCAACCTGCTTGAAGCTCTCCCAAAGCTTTTCATGATAGGTTGCAGGATTTGAAAGCTTCCTGCAAGGAAACTGCCACCGACAAGTATGGCTTCGCTCAGGCCAACGGCCGGCTGGAGTTTGAGATGCGCCAAGGCAAAGCCAAGCAGATCCTGGAGGGTCCACACATGTTGGTCGTGAAGCGGGTTTACTCCACTGGTCTGCTTGCCAAATGGAACGAGCGAGTGCCACAACTAGAGGTCGGGCCACAGGATCGGATCATTGCAGTGAATGATGAGAACACAGCGGAGGGTATGGCAAAGGAGATTCATCAGCCGCGGATATTTCTTCAGATGATGAGGCGGGGCTTGCAGGCACTGATTTGTGATAGGTCTAAGCAGTGAATCATTGGGTGCCAGCTGCATGCGTCTTGCGTGCAAAGTCAGGTTCCAAGCAAGGTCCAGTCAATATACTCTTCTATACATCTCTATATGGGGAGCAAAAATTTTGCTTGCTTGCGCAAGTATGAACAGGATGTGGCACCATTAGGCGATTGGGGAAGTAATCGGTCGCAGGAATCTAAATCGCCGCGGCTCACTCTAGAGTTTGGCCGAGGTATACATCAACTAGCCGGCCACGTAGAATGAAGACATGTTGAAACTACCATGCCTTGAAGTTATTAGCCCTTTGGAGCCCCTTGTAGCGTTCTTGCTCCTAGTAGTACGGCCAGGAGCCCCGTTCGCCCTAGTAGCTTCTTGTTAGTGCTGTGTATGCTTTTGTTGAGTTGGGATTGCTGCTGAGCTTTGTTGAGCGAGAGGTTCCCTGAGCGCTTCATCGTAGCTCTGAGCAAAGAGAACGGGGTGAAGTTGGGCTTCCGCTTTGAGCGGCCGCAAGGCAACTTTGCAGAGGACAAACTCTTTCCGCACATGCAGAATTGAAATGCCAGGGAGCTATGTTGAATTAGGAGATCTATTGTAACTGTAAATGGCAAAGTGGAGACAGGAAACTCTACGATATGAACAACCGACTCTTTTGTTTGTTGCGTCACGCGTCACTGCTAGGTTGAATGTTGCACCTGTGCGCATAGTTATACATACATATATATATATACACATATTATTATTGTTATTACTATGTTGTTTGCAACAACGGTGTTTGCATCAAACTGCAAGTAAGAACTGGTAAAGGTTGCAAGTCCCTGGGAGAAGTTCACTGCTAGCCACTGCAACACGTGTCCAGGAGGTGCGCATCACCGAAGTGATGGAGGAGGGTGTGACTTGGCATGAGCAGCTAAATAGGTGTGCTTGTTCATCAATGATTTAGTGGGCACATATTGAGATGAGAAATGCGCGGCAACATGTTGCCCATCAAGATATCATGGCATGAAGCTTTGCCTGAAGGCTTAAGGTGGTTTGGCGAAGCTTCCTTATATGTGCAAAACTTCTTTATGGCGGGTTGAGACACTTGTGCTGGCTGAGGTGCTTCTGAATAGTGTAATGCTGCGTTCAGCCCAGGGCTAGGGGATTGCTTGGGCGGACCTACTGTAAGCCCTTTGTGCAACCGAGTCTAAAGGGACTTTGCGCGTGACTCAAACGACTACAGACGGTGATTCAGCCACTTCGACTTTGGTAGCGCTCGCAGCTGCAGCATTCGAGGCCATGATGGCTTACAACAAGACGCAAGTCAATTTGGGTCGATATGCCTTTGTGGTATTGGCAGATATGCGAATTGATCGTGTGAATGATGTGTGGGGTGATGCAGAGGCTCGGCATTTTTAGTAGGGAAAATGGGCCCTCCAAGCAACGAACAAAACGAACTTGGAGGTCAGTGCCTCAGGGCTGGGGAACGATATTTTTGTTCCAAGGATTTGGGGCTGGGGTAGAACAATGGAGTTCGTCAGCGTGAGAAGATGTTCTTTCATGTTCTTTCCATCTCAGTCGTTGCAGTACTATGATTCCTTGTTTTTGTGCTTGAGGAACTCATAGCTGCAGAGCTCAAGTCCGCAACCAACGTGGAGCTTTATATCCGCCGAGCTGAGCATGCTGGTTCACCCACAGCTTAATTAATACAACGCTTTCAGCTGAGCATTAGCTCACCATGCTTTGAAGTTTCTGTGTTTCCGTGAGCTCCACTATTGGTCACACTCGTGTGTGTGTGTGTGTGGGGTTGTGTTTGTTTGTGTGTCTCCAGAGCACTGTAAAGACAAGCAAGAAGGTAGCTAAGTAGGAGCCACCAATGGCTCCATATTTTGAGGCCAAGCCTCAAAAACTGAGACGTCCTGACGTTCTGTTTTCTCACCCCTGAGACCGACTTCAAGCTCTCTCTTAAGGAGACGTAGAAAGAAGAAATGTGATGCTTTGCATGCATAGCTTCACATATCATCACATGATCTCACAGGCGGCAAGGGCGCAAGTCAACATGCCCTTCTTCCAAGAATCATGCACAGGTACATGCTCATGGGCGGTCGTCCAGAGTTTCACAACGCGTGGAGCTAAGTTCGGGCTGCCACTCAATGGTCTTAGGCGGTTACGGCGGTTACGGTAGCTGGGTCATTTAATCGTCAATTTGTCACTTTAGACCGTACAGAATTTGTTCATCAGCCCATGGCAGATGGATCGCAACAGATATGGCCGCATTTTCGAGTGCTGCACTTGGACCCGTTCGATTGAATATGCATTGGCTACATGTGGGTTAGTGTTCAGTGATTTCTGTAATGCAAATAGATCAATTTATAGCATTGTATAGCCGGTATAGCCCGCTTGCCAATATACCGGCAGGCCCTGTCACCAATACCAAGGCCTTGGCACAACTTTGAGGTCATGATCACGTGTGAGCCTTTGGAGCGTTTGTCCAACAAAGTAAGCAAGAAAGACCAGAGTTTAGATAGCTGAATGTGTAATGCAGCAGCAGGTCATCCAAGAACAACTGCTGGGTTACCGTGAAGAACAAGAGCCGATGCCCCAGAGATCTAATATGTTTGCATTTGTATTCCTCGCTTATCTAACCGTTTTTCCGCTCTCTCTCTCTCTCCTTCTTTGTTTTGGTTCCAACCTTCCACTTTCCACTTTTGTACTTGAGTTGAAATGCAGTACTCACACATACGCACACATCTGTACGATGTTTCTTTCACTGGTTATCTTAGCACAGAGACATCGAACGAGGCTGGAGGCATCGAACTGTGATCGTCTCTCATGCTGGTAATGTTGGCTTCCGTGGCGCTACTTGGACGGATTAGCACGATGACTATTTCATACTATTTCTGTAAAGCGACAATGAAGATTAGTAACAAAGAAGATACTAGTATATAACAAAGGGAATCGCTACTAGGAGCAAGGATGCTACTAGTAGCTCCTGGCACTACTAGTAACAAGAAGCTACTTATAGTGGCAATAATGATGCTTTTCATCGACTCCAGGCGATGAAGAAATCCGAAGCGGCAACCTATGCCATTGTCCGGAAGCCAAACGGAACCGGCACCCAAGAGGGACATGTTGGGGTTCCTTTAAACGGTTAATTATGCTTAACAAGGGCTCTACTCGACTAAAGAAAGCCTCTAAGTATTAAACTAAAGGGGCCCTAACTTTCTTATACTTTCTTTGCATCCCGTTGTTTTACCGATGCAGAAGCGCTCCTCAACTCGCCTCAGCACTGGCAGGGTATGAACATCGCGCGGAAGCTTCGACGCCTCGGCCTGGGAGCTCGGTCGAGGTCGGTCCCAGGCGACTGCTGGATATCCCAAGCCCAGACCGTCCCAAGGACGGGTCTGTCCTACCTGATCGCTATTTTTGGACATATATATATATATTTATTTACTATATACTGCATATATATATATATATGGTTTTACTTTAATATATATTTATAACGGATCATTTATATATACCATATATATATAAATCTGTATGATGAGATACTAACTGCCCACTAACTACCCTACCTCCAACAAGAACTTTTTACTTGAGTTGGTTTTCAGCCATCTATACAAGAAAGCCAAATGCTATGTTTGGCAGAGAGGGGCTCAATGTTGTTTAAATGCCGAGGTTTCATGATGTGGTAGAACTTGCGCTGAATTCTTGCATCCTGACAGTTGATTCCTTCAAAAGCATGCAAGAGCGTAGATTAGCGCGGCGTCAATCGAGGCTTTCATTTGGGGTGTGATTTCCAACAACGAAACGGGGCCTGATGTCGCCCGAGGTGTGACTTGTGCTGAAGTGCACTTCAGGCGGCTTATGAAGGCCACTTTGTCCATCAAGTTGTCCTTTTTTTGCGTGTCGAGCTGAGCCAGAAGCCAGGTGGAAACTTGCCTTCAAGCCTTCCAAAATGCTGGTTTGCAGGCAGGCTCCGCTACACGTGTTCAACAATAGAGGGGGTACAGCAAGACGCTGTTGATCACCCCGATTTGAACAGAAATAACATGGGAAACAAACCAGACAAGACAGATTGTGCAAAATGTCAAGAAAATGATATTCCTTGCGTAAAGTTCCGCGTTGCCAGATTACCAAGATGACCCATATGCCGAGAACGCCTATTGGCGACTTGCTTGCCGTGGTTGCTTTTAAACTTTGACTGCGGTTCACTGTTACACCGTTCAACTCACTCGTCGCTACGGCTCCCGCTCTTTGCGTGCAGTCTCTGAGGAAATCCGCACAAACCAAGAAAGCAGAGACGGGTTTGATCCGCTTCTGATGCAGGGATGCGACGATGTGACACGCTAGTGCAAACAACATGGCTTTATGGTTTCAGGCATCGAGGAATGTATTGCCAAGCAAGCGGGGTGTTGATAAGAGCAGGGACGCCAATGGCCCCCACAGTCAGCCCGCAGCAACACCCATCAGAGGTTCAATGTCCTGAGAATCTCATTGTTCTACTTGTAACTGGTGAAGTCTTGAAGTGGAGGACAAGAATCAGAAAGGCTGTTTGCTGTCATGCATTCGCAATGACTATAAAATGCCGTTGAACAGGTTATGACCTACCATTTCAACATGTTTGTCTCACCATTAGGTTGCTGGTAGGTGGTTATATCTGCTTGCATCAGCTTGAGGGAAAAGCTGAGTCGAAAGGCATGGTCTAGTGGTTTAATGGTTTGCACACATGGGTGTGTAGAAAAAATAGGGAGACCTCACAGTACGACCCACTGGAAGAAGGTAAATAGGTCAGCCTACCCATTAGCCACTGATTGAGGGTCCCCCAGAAGAAACGCAAGGAGCCCCTAGTAGCTTCTTGTTACTAGTAGTAAGGCCAGGAGCCCCTAGCGTCCTTGCTCCTAGTAGCGATGCCAGGAGCGCCTAGTAGCTTCTTAATGCTCTGGAGCTTTAGGACGTGCTTGCGACTTTTTTTCTGCCCTCAACGTGGCTCCAAATGTGGCACGGCCTCACAGAGTGAGCCTATGGCCGACGAGGCGCTGCGCATATCGTACTGTTTGAGGATGAAACAACACAAGAAGTGTCCTTGTTCCTAGTAGTAAGGCCAGGAGCCCCTAGTAGCTTCTAGCTCCTAGTAGCGATGCCAGGGGCGCCTAGTAGCTTCTTGTTCCTACCAGTGGGGTGTGCCATTTTGGAATGATGTTGTCTCTTTGCGGATTCTGCAGCTTTGGGTTGGCCAGGAGCGGATCCCATGGCTCCGGGCTTTGGCACCGGAACACTTGCCTTTGGTGAGCAGAAGACGCCGCAGCGGCGGGTCAAGGCCTGGCAGCTGCAGACGATCGCAGAAAGCGCTTCGGCCAAGGGAGTGAAACGTGGATGGATCGTCATGGAAGATCAGCAGAGGCAAGCTGTGGCAAGCTGAAGATACTGGTCTGGTATACTTAGATTCCAGAATGCCTTTTGAAGCCATAGGTTGAGGTTCCAAGTATCAGACTGAATCAGACTATCTCCTCTCATCTCACCTGATCCCCCGGCCATTCTCCGTGGCTTCACTGGCAGGAATGGAGCCCAATCGACCGCATGCTTGCCGAGAAGGGATCCAAGCGACGGCCACTCGCCTTGGACGCCGACGCGACGTGAGACATGGCCCCCGGGTGCCGCACGCCAAACTCAGCGAGAGGAAGCGAGAGTGAGACATGCAGGAGATGAACAAAAGCGAGAAAAAGGGAAGCAGAACATGCAACCTCCAACAACCAGGGCCGACTTCGACTCGAAGACTAACCACATCACACAACCGAATGGACACATCGACGCACAAGTCAGTGATGTTGTCGGTGGAGAGAGGCTTCGCAACTCGCGAAGGTCAACGCGTTGAACTGGTTGAGGTGAGTTTGTAGGGTCGTGTTCGGAACATTCCAGTCGGGTAGATTAGGGGACCCAACAAAGTCAAAGAACACGAGTTTGGGTCCGAAACATGCAAGATGAACATGAAACATGTGTTTTGGAATGAGTTGGGCAGTTTGCTTTGGTTATGTTTGAATGCTTTCAAAACATACACCAGATGTTGGCAATTTGATTGCATTCACTGTGCCAGTGGTTGGCCTGTGACCCGAGGTCAAAAACAGAATTGCCACCAATAAGTCCTTCACCTCCTCCAGTGACTACCACTGAGACACAGGAGGGCGCATCAGCTAGGGCAGATTTATTCATTACTCGCGTTACTCGCGTATGTTTAGTTTGGGCAACTTACAGACAATGGATGGAAAACTGCCCTTCTTTCCTGTACACTGTCAATTGCTAGCTCCTAGCCGATCTTTCATTGAATCATTTAACATCATTTGAGTGCTCAATCTTTGAGAAGTTTCTTGATTTGCTGGGGTGACATGTGTGCTGGAGGTGCAGACGGACAGCTGGGTTGCTTTTCTGAAGGAGGCCCTCGCTATATCCCTCGTCCCAGAGCAGCAGAAGTACAAGGCTTTGCAGCAACTCGGCAGTAGTTAACCAAAAAATTTGGGCTCCCGCCAAGGCTGGCCATGTTACTGGCAAATAGAGATCATGGAAGCAAGTGACGAAGTTCCTCAATTATATATTCCAATAGTTCGAAATGTGTGTTCCTTGTTCCCACCGTCCAGTGCCTGTCTTGTTTTTAGACCGTTGATTAGCTGCCAAATGGCACACACCGGAGAGTAAGGAGTGAGATGGCAGCGGTACAGCTGCAGCTCAAAGAGAAGCAGGAAGAAGTAGCAGCAGTGCACCTGCAGCTCAAAGAAAAGCAAGACGAGATAGAAAGCCAGCGAAGAAGAGCGGCTGAAGCTGAAAATGCGCATGCCGCTGAGCTGGCTCGGCTTGCTGCGGAGCATTTTCGGCTCATGGGAGAGAACAGCCAGCTCATGGAGGAAAAGAAATCCATGGACGAGCTCAAAAAGACCTTTGAGAAGCAGAGGTGTTTATCTCAGTTGGACTGTAGCTCCTCACG